GGCCCCCCCCCCCCAGGCCAAGTTGGCTCCAAGCCCCATCCAACCTGCCCTTCAACACTGCCAGGAATGGGGCAGCCACAGCTTCCCTGGGCAACCTGGGCCAGGCTCTCACCACCCTCACACCAAACAATTTCCTCCTCATGTCTCACCTCAATCTCCCTCTTCCAGTTTTAATCCCTTCCCCCTTGTCCTCTCCCTCCCTGCCCTTGTCCCAAGTCCCTCCCCAGCTTTCCTGGAGCCCCTTCAGGCACTGGAAGGTGCTCTAAGGCCTCCCTGGAGCCTTCTCTTCTCCAGGCTGAACACCTCAACTCTCCCAGCCTGGCTCCAGAGCAGAGCTGCTCCAGCCCTCCCATCATCTCCGTGGCCTCCTCTGGACTCTCTCCAACAGCTCCATGTTTAAAAAATAAAAGCTAAAGCCCAGACAGAAAGGACATCTGGGCCAGTCCCAGCCATGAGGGCTCAGAGAGGCAGAAAGGGATGGGGAGCAGGTCAGGATGGCAATTCCAGAGGCTGCTCCAGCTGCCAGAGCAAGACAGGAGCCGTGTGGGTGTGCATGTCTGCACGGGGACAAAAACAGAGACACCCAACAGGCACCTCTGCTGCCAGCCTGGCCAGATAAGGTGGTTTCTGGGTCCCACCTCTGCCCAGGGCAGCTTCCCATGGGACACCCAGTGCCACGCGGCGCCGGCGCAGCCACCCCGGGCAGGGGGTGGTTTGGTTTGGGGCATTTCAGGGCAAGGAGCTGAGGTGGCCACAGGTATTTTTGGGGCTCTGCTCCAGGCAGGGATGGCTGTGACCATCCTGGAGGGAAAACAACCCCAGCCCACAGCTTGGACAAGGATGGGTGTATCCTCCTTCTGGGAGGAGTTAGAGCAAAAAGGTCCCTTTGGGCTGGCAGGTCTGCTTTGAAAGGTGGTCAGCAGTGGAATATTAAGATGGGATGGGGCTGAAAGGGGTTATTTTGCCCCCAAAAAAGCAAAACAAATAAAATTAAATCCTTTTGCAAGCTGAAAGCTTGTCGACCATGCAAGGGATGGTGGCCAGAGGGGGCTGTGAACAGCAGGGACATCCCAAAGCACCTGAGGGATGAGTCCCTGCTCTGGTGGAAAGGAGATGGCAGGGCAAGGAGCACCCTGCCTGCACGGGGATCACCCTGCCCAGGGGATCCCTCAGTGCTCGTTCTGGGTGCTCAGCCAAGAAGGAAAGAAATGAAAATAACAAACCAAGCAAGCAAAAAGAAGAAATAAATAAATAAAAGAGGCTGGAGGCAGCCAGCAAGGTGTGGCTTGGCAGCACCTCCTGCTCAAAGGGCACTGCCACTGTCAGAGAAAAGTCATCCCCGCCCACCACAGCGTTGTGGGAGCCTCCCAACCTGGCCACACCTGGGCAATAAAGCAGGTGAGATGCCACCTGCTCCAGGAGAAAGGGCAGGAGCAGCCGGATCAGCTCAGCTCCCTCTGGAATCCCTCCATCCCTGGGGGGGGGGGTGTGACAGCAGAAAGACAGAGCTCCAGCAGGGAAAAGGAGAAGTGGTCTGTCCCAGTTTGCCAGGGAAAACACCCCCCCTCCCCACTCTGGTTCTTACCTTCTCCTCATCCACTGGTTGACAGCGGGGATCCATCGGCCTCGGGTGGGCTGAGACATCCTCCTCTTCCTCACCCGCGGGCTCGGGAGGGCTCTGGGAAGAGGAGGATAACCCTGCAGTGAAACCCTGGTGGCAGACCCCTGGGGAGGGAGGTGGCAGTGCCACCCTGGGGGGGTAGGGGCAGAGCGAGCTTGTCCCTTCCTGCTAAATAAATAAGGGGAAATATCTGATGAACTCTCACTCCAGCCACCCAGTTCCTGCAGAGCAGGTTCCCCGGGGGATGCGGCTGCTGCCCTTTGAACCCTGCACCGAGTTTCTTTTGGGAAACCTCTCCCCAAGGCCACTTTTCAGGCCACCCCCATGGTGCTTGGATGTTGCAGAGAGGAGGCTGCAGAGCCTTTGGTCAGTGTGTTCCACTGGAGATCACCTTCCCCCCCCCCCCCAAGGTCACCAGCTGGAACCAGCACAGCCAAGGGGCACCACGGTGCTCACAGCATCATCACTGGGCTCCCTCCTCCCTGCCTGGCTTGGTATTTTGGTCCCTGAGGAAGCTGGGCACTGTGGCATGGCTGGTGTTGGCTCCAGGCACTGGGGGGGAAAAAAAAACAACCCAGCTTGGAGTGGGGGGGGAAAAAAAGCAACAGTGGCCTTTGCAGGGTCACACCGGGCTGGGCACAGGGTCTGAAAGGTGGGTGGGGGGGTTGGTTGGGGTTGGAGAGGACCTGCTGGTGGCAGGATGATGCCCAGGCTGTGGTTCTCCTGGCAGGGCTGGCTGAAGAAAAGGAGGAACCTGCCGTGGCCGGAGCCCCCTGCTGGCTGCCAGCATCAGCCTCCTCCTCCTCCTCCTCCTCCTCCCCACAGCCCTGCCGGCTCCAGCACCAGCCCCTGCCACCTGCAGGGAGCTCGGTGAGGCCACGGTGTGCCCGTGCAAAGCCCCGAGCTGGCCGTGCCCCCCGGGCAGGACGTGCCAAACATGCCTTTTCTACTGCTTTGTCACCTTGAGTTACCCATTAACCCGGGAGACAGCACAGCCCGGCAGTCCCGGCACAGCAGTGCCCGCTGTGCTGCTCACACCCCCGCAGGGTCTGCTCCTCCAGGGATGCTCCAGGAGGGATGGGGTTGCATCCCCACCGGGAATAACCCACCCCCCAACTCGTGTCCTGGTAGCTGGGATGCAGAAGCACCAGCATCATGTCCCGGGTGGACAGGACTTTACCCTGTGCCAGCACTGCCACCAGGCACACCTCCCTTCCAGCTTCCCAGCCTCCTTCCTTCCCAGCTGGATTTCCAACCTCATCCCACCGTACCAGAGCTGAGCTACCCAGCCCTGGGGCAGCCCCTCACCCCAGGGCAGGGCAAGGGGTATTTCCAGCCGGGTGGGACTTGAGCAGGCACCAGTTTTCCTGCAGGAAGGGCTGGTCAGTGCTGTGGGCCACAGCTCCTCCCTCTGAGAGGGTCTCCACCAAGACTTTTGGCTCTGCACACACTCCCATCCTTCAGCCAGGTGTCCCAGGGAGGTGGGATGCCTTGAAATCCAACAAGGGGTGGTCAAGTGATTGGTTTTGCCTCTTCCTTGTGGGAGCTTTGGAAGAAAAATCTGGCTCTAAGAGACAGGGAAACGACTTCCCTTACCCCCCAAGGAATGAGCCCATGGTCTTCACCTCCACACTTGCCCCACAGCCTTGCCAGCAGCAGGAAGGATGCTTAAGAAAGCTGGGCTGATGCAACACCCCTCGTCCCCTTTCCTAAAGGTGCACACACCTCCAGCTTCCCTGCCCAGGGACATGCCAGCATCATGGTGTGCCCAGAGGGCTTCCCTGTCCCCCCAGGCCAGGAAGGTGAGTTGGGGCTTCAGTCCCCACCTCCCTCACACCCCAGACAGGGGAGAACAGATGTCACCAGTGAGATGTCACCACCCACACCAGCACCCTCCCAGCACCCTGCCTCACCTGAGTCACCTCCTCCCCCTTCCTCATCCTAGGGAGGAAGGCTTTCCCCCTCTTCACTCTGGGGCTTGCACCAAAGAGACCTGGGCAGCCCTGGTGCAACCAGGGTGCAAGCCGTGCCTGCATCATGCCCTGGCTTCCTTCCCAGAGCCTCAGCAGCCGGGTGGGACTTGAGCAGGCACCAGTTTTCCTGCAGGAAGGGCTGGTCAGTGCTGTGGGCCACAGCTCCTCCCTCTGAGAGGGTCTCCACCAAGACTTTTGGCTCTGCACACACTCCCATCCTTCAGCCAGGTGTCCCAGGGAGGTGGGATGCCTTGAAATCCAACAAGGGGTGGTCAAGTGATTGGTTTTGCCTCTTCCTTGTGGGAGCTTTGGAAGAAAAATCTGGCTCTAAGAGACAGGGAAACGACTTCCCTTACCCCCCAAGGAATGAGCCCATGGTCTCCACCTCCACACTTGCCCCACAGCCTTGCCAGCAGCAGGAAGGATGCTTAAGAAAGCTGGGCTGATGCAACACCCCTCGTCCCCTTTCCTAAAGGTGCACACACCTCCAGCTTCCCTGCCCAGGGACATGCCAGCATCATGGTGTGCCCAGAGGGCTTCCCTGTCCCCCCAGGCCAGGAAGGTGAGTTGGGGCTTCAGTCCCCACCTCCCTCACACCCCAGACAGGGGAGAACAGATGTCACCAGTGAGATGTCACCACCCACACCAGCACCCTCCCAGCACCCTGCCTCACCTGAGTCACCTCCTCCCCCTTCCTCATCCTAGGGAGGAAGGCTTTCCCCCTCTTCACTCTGGGGCTTGCACCAAAGAGACCTGGGCAGCCCTGGTGCAACCAGGGTGAAAGCCGTGCCTGCATCATGCCCTGGCTTCCTTCCCAGAGCCTCAGCACCCTCCTGCCTGCCACGAGCCCGTGCAGCCACCCCAGGGGCACCCAACCCTCCCAGCTACTGGGGCCTCACCCCATCCTCCTCATCCTCCACCCAATAAAAGGTGGGTTTGGAGGCGGCTGGAGGGGACCGGGGGAGCGCCGGGCTCTGCCTGTGGGCGATGCTGATGCATCCCAGGCAAACAGGTCCTGCCAGAAGAGATGTGCAAGGGGCCCTGATGGAGCAAAGCAGAAGTAAACACCCTAGGGAACAGGGTCTTACTGCTCCCAGGGCACTATATGTCACCCCCTGGCATCAGGGCTCGGGGCTTTCAAAGAAGCACAAGATGCTGCTGCCACGCGAGCAGGTCTGGATGGGAAGGACAAGCTGATGTGCTCAGGGTGCAGGCAGGAGGAGCTGGGATCCCTCCCCCCAGCCCAGGCAGGGCCATGCAGCCAGTTTTTCCACCTGTGCCCCTTTCCCTGGCAAGTCAAACCCCACAGGAGCCTGGCTGTGCCTGTCCACTCCCCCCAGCTGCCACAACCTGATGTCCAAGCTGCACTGGAGGCACCCCAGGAGGCACTGGGAGCCCTGGAGGGGTCCCCAGCTGCTGTGGTACATGCCCAGCATCACCACCCCACCACTGCCATCCCACCATCTCCATCCCACCACCATCCTCATCCTGCTGGCTCTGTGGGCCCCCAGCAGCAGCTGCCATAGCCCCACGAGGCTGGGTCCAGCAGGACTAGGAGAAGGAAGTTGAAGGTGGCTTATCCTCATGATAAGAGTTATAAGAATAATAATTTTTAAAAAGCCACCTGTTGTTCCAACACTTTGGAAGAAGGTGCCAGTTTGGGGTTGGGGAGAGAGCTGGGGCCAGTTTGACACGGACCATGTGGGTGAGAGGAGAAAGGGGAGGACACCAGCTCTGAGAGGGATGAGGGACCCACCGTGACTCAAGTCACACACACCCCAGAGAGGCTGTGATGAAAGTCTCTCATTGCTTAAATTGGAGGGGTAATTAGGATGATTCAGTTACCCTCCAGCACAGCTGTTAAAAATCCACTGTCTGCTCGGGGTGATCGTTGCTTCAGCCTCTGATCTCGCCAATAGGTGCTGTTTGCATGGCTGAAAAGCCTGGGGGTTAATCTGTCCTTAGCCAAAGGGTGACACAGGAGAGGGACCTGCAGCCCAAGGATGGAGCTGAGCTCCTGGAAGCCACAGGAAGGGGTGCAGAGAGGTGGATGGAGGCTGACACTCAACTTCCTCCTCCATCAACACCTTTTTTTTTTCCTCCTTCCTCTTTTCCAAAACCCTCCACGTCCCCTGGAGCCGGGTGCTGGTGGGACCACAGGGATGGTGCAGCTCTGGGAGAGGAGAGGCACTGGCAAAGCCATGGGGGGGGTGTAGAGGCAGAGCAGGGTGACACAACCCCTCCTTTGGGGACCTGCTTGGGGTGCTTCTGCCCAAAACCAGCCAAAGCTCCACCCAATGCACCGACACCCCCCATCTCCCTCCCACAGGGATTTTGGGGGGCGCCAAGTCCAGCAGAGCAGCTCACACCACAGGTACACACCGGGCACGGCCTCCCTGTCCAGCAGGCAGCTTTTTTTTCCCCCTCCCCCCCCCCCCCCCCCCCAGCCCATGTTCCAGTCCAGGTTGGTTTATCTAGTGCCAGGTAGTGTCTGGTCTCCCCGTGCCCCAGCGTTATCACCACGTGTATTTGCCCTGGGACGCTGGCAATTCCCCTCGCTGCGGGAACTCGTTTGTCCAGTACCTTCCTCCCTTCCTCCCAGCCCGTTGGGGCTCGTCACACCCCGTGAGGAGGAGGCAGCAGCAGCAGCAAGGGGGTGTTCCAGCAGAGGAGGTGCCATCTCTGGGACCCAGGGACAGAGCAAGGCAGCACAGCCAGGCTGAACAAAGCCCCGTCTGTGGCGCTGCCCGCCCGTGGGGACCGAGTCACGGGGAGGAGAAGCAGCAAACAGCCAGCCTGGAGGGGGGACTGACTGGTCACCGACCTTGCTGGGACATCCAGAGGGGGAAAGTGGCCACTGGGCTGGTGGAGGGGACTGGGCTGGCCCTGCTGCTTGGGCATCCTGCCCAAGTGCCCTGGTGCCTCCTGGAAGTTCACCCGGCAGCGGTGACATTTCCCAGGGTGTCTTCCCTTTTACCTGGGCTGAGTTACAGCCACCCTTGCTCGTGCCTGGACAGTCTGGGAGGT